TCCTTCCTTCCTTCCTTCCTTCCTTCCTTCCTTCCTTCCTTCCTTCCTTCCTTCCTTCCTTCGTCTCTTATTCCTTTTCTCATTCTACTTCCTGGTGGTGTAGTGGTCAGAATGCAGTTGTCATGCCCCTGTCGGAATCTGATTCTGAAGGGGAGGCCGAGCAGCTGACAGGGAGGGGAGTGTGGCTCCGTTGGCTGTTGGAAGAAACTGGGGAAGGGCAAAGTCCAGCTGGGCAGAGCAGGAAAGATGTAGAACAAGGGAGAGGGAATTCAGAGGAAGACCCAGGCCCACCCCCTCTTCATCCTAGGGCAACCAGGGAGGAACGGAGAAGGAAACAACGTGAATTGTGTGACTTATGGAGGAGGAAAGGGCCCTGATTCCCTTCATTAGCTGCAGCTGGGAACACAGTATTTAAAAAGGGAAAGTACACACAGCAAAGTTGTTGGAAGCAAATCGTGAGTTATCTTTCATTGTCGAGGCCTATCTGGATTCCTGGCATCTTCCCAACTGTGTGTGTTTTGTTGGCCTTTCAAGTCTGCAATTCCTTATCCTGCCCTGACAAGTTAATTGCTGCAGCATGGTTTGTGTGGATTTTTATTTACAGTTTGTATGTACTTTGTTTTTGGACTGAATTTCCTCCACTTAAAAGACTGTTCTTGGGAGAGTTTTTTCTGCAGCCAAAGGTAACCTGGACCTTGGGGTAAAGTTGGAGGTATTAAAGGGACTCTTCTGGCTTATTTGACTGTGTTGCCTTTGTGCCACACCCTGGGTCATCACAGCAGTATTGCAGGCTGACTCTGCCCATTGCCTGGAGTTCGATCCTGACTGGCTCAAGGTTGACTCAGCCTTCCATCCTTCCGAGGTGGGCAAAATGAGGACCGAAATTGTTGGGGACAATAGGCTGACTCTGTAAACCACTTAGAGAGGGCTGTAAAGCACTGTGAAGTGGTATATAAATATGTGCTATTGCTATCCTTTAAAAACTATTACACATACACATAGATGTGTGGACACATAGACACATATTTATAAACATGTCTTTGCCTTTCTTCATTATGTTAATATAACACAATGTGCCTGACTTTGGTGTTATAGGCAAACATTATATCATAGTTATAGTTTTCATCTGTTTCCACTTCTCAAAGTGGTAGAAATGATAAGAATTATAACAGCACTTAAAAGAAACTAAGATTTTGTTCATGTGCTATGCTCGTATGTATAAACATATAAGGCAATATGTATAAACATATAACTTCCTGAAAACCAGCATCTTGATGTTCTCAACATGTGCCACAGCCATTTCCAATCTACAAGACCATACGTAAACCATATTTTATCTATAAAAGCCACCAGCAACCACAGGAAGCAGTGCCTATACAAGCATATACAAAACAATATGGTTAGTCAAGATACGTTCAGCTGCTGTCCCACAAAATCTGAGAAAAGAGCAACCATATCTAAGAAGAAATTCAGTCTGAACCCAAAGTACATATAAATTATAAATAAAAATCAACACAAACGCTGCAGCAATTAACGAGACAAGGCAGGTTAAGGAATTGCAGACTTCAAAAGATAACGAACCACACACAGTTGGGAGGATGCCAGAACCCAGATAAGACTTGACAAACAAATATAATTCACGCTTTGCTTCCAGCAAGGTGCTGTGAGCAAACGTCCTTTTTAAATCCTGTTTTCCCAGCTGCAACTAATGAAGGGAATCAGGGCCCTTTTCTCCCCCGTAATCCACATTGCTCCCTTCTCCGTTCCTCCCTGCATACCCTAGGATGAAGAGGGGGTGGGCCTGGGACTTCCTCTGAATGCCCAGATGGACTGTGCCTTCCCCAGTTTCTTCCACAGCCACTGGAGCCACACTCCCACTCCCTGTCAGCTGTTTGACCTCCCCCCTGGAATCAGATTCCAATAGGGGCATGACAGTGCGCATGCGCAGAGCTGCCAGGAGAAAGGAACAGTAAAGGAACAAGGGTTGACTCGGCAGTAAAGGCTCAGGTGGACGGTGAATGGCCTCTCCCATAAGGAATAAAGAGGAACGGAAGGGGAGTGGCGTTTGCAGGAGACAATTAGTTCAATTCATTAGGGTGAAGATCTGTTCCTGACTTCTTGCCGAGTAATTGCTGCTACAGCGTGGCATTTGGAAGATATCGGCCTGGCAGCTCTCCCAGCCTGATAAAGATCTGTAGTTGTGAAATCTCTTGAAAGACTGTTGGCTGGGACTTTGCTGGAGAGGAATTCTCTTTAACCTAAATAAAAGGGGTTTTATCAGGACGAAGAGTCAGCTTCATGATCTTGGGAAGCCTAGGACAGGGCAATACCTTACAAATTTCAGGAGAAAAGGAGAATGAGAGATGATGCTAATAAACAGCCTTTTGAGATCCAAAGACACTCATTGTTGTGGTTCTCCAGCAACCGGTGCAGATGGCAGAGGTATCGGACAGTGGGGTAGAACAGGGACCAGTCCGGGAGTCTGGAGAGGACTCGGACGAGGGTCCTACATCCGATGCAGAGATGGAGCCAAGACTATCTGGGAGTGGGGTGCTGCCTTTGGAGCCCCCGGGGTCTGGCAGCAGCGAGGCAGAAGACCCAGGGGTGCCTGTTCCCAGTGCGCGTGTGCGCAGAGCTGCTAGAAGATGAGGGCAGCTGAAGCAGAAGGAGTGACTGGGGAGTAAGGCTGGAGGTGACTGCCCCTCCCATAAGGGATAAAAGTCAGACCTCAATGACGAAACCTTTGCAGGAAGCAAAGCAATTCGATAGATTCCGAGGCCTTCTTGAAGCTCTGTGTATTCTGGGTCGTTTTTTTCTCTGGTACTGTTTGTAATTACTTTGGAGACTCTGTTTTTGGCAGCATTCACCAGCCCTGATGGGCGTGTGCTTATCTGTTTAAGATAGTTTTGGCTGGGAATGAAAATAATTCCCAGAGTTGCATTAGAAAAGGGTTTTGCTTTTAATACCAGTTTGTGTTTAATTACATTTGACAAAGCCTGGGCCAGAACACTCATCTTACCTGTTTCCCACCTTTGCAGACTGGAAAACACCCTAAGAAGAAAAAAAACCCATGTTTTTTAAACAGCTTCAGTGGAGGGTGACTTTAAAAAGCCAACGCACCCAAGAACTATAACAGGTAGTCCTCGACTTATAACAGTTCTTTTCGTGACCATTCAAAGTTCCCACGGCACTGAAAAAAGTGACCGTTGACTTTGTTTCGCACTTAAGACCGTTGCAACCTCCACGTGGCCACGTGATCAAAATTCAGACCCTTGGCAACTGACTCCCATTTATGATGGTGGCAGTGTCACCGGGGTCATGTGGGATCCCCTTTTACGACCGTCTGACAAGCCAAATCAATGGGGGAAGCCAGATTCACTTAACGACCGGATTACTAACTTAACAACTGAAGTGATTCGCTGAACAAATATGACAAGAAAGGTCATAAAATGAGGCAAAATTATTAACTTACAAATGGCTCACTTAACAACACGAAATTTTGGGCTGAATTGTGGTTGTAAGTCAAGGACTACCTGTACTTATTGGTTTGGATAATGGAACCCAATCCAAATGAAAATAGGATCAGGAAGAAATAGTGGAGAAGATATTATCAGGCACAGTATATCTGGAACAGCTATTTATATTCTTCACGTATGAGGCTGAGAGTATGGTTATGTCATGAGTTGCTACCAGGAGGAGGAGGAGGAAGAGGAGGAGGAGGAGAAAGAAAGAATGAAAGAAAAAAGAAAGAAAAGAAAGGAGAAGAAGGAAAAGAAAAGAAAGAAGAAAAAAGAAAGGAGGAGGAGGAAGAAGGAGGAGGAGGAGGAAGAAGGAGAAGGAGAAGGAGGAGGAGGAGGAGGAGGAGGAAGAGGAAGAAGAGGAAGAGGAAGAGGAAGAGGAAGAGGAAGAAGAAGAAGAAGAAGAAGAAGAAGAAGAAGAAGAAGAAGAAGATTATTATTTGCTTTTTAACTTTTAATATCAAAACTCAAATCTGGTCGGCTGTTTGGAAACTGAAACAGTATTTGCTGTGTGAGCAAGGAGGCAGCAAGGAGCCTGGGCATGGCTTAGCTCATCTGTTCTGTACTAAAGAAGCTTGGTGCAATGAAACTACAACTGAAACTGAAACTCCTCTCCTCTGCTTGTGTTTTGCATTTGGAACAGATTTCTTTCCAGGTGGGGAGGGGGTAGAACTCCTTAGCATCAGAGCGTGTTAATAATAATAATAATATACGAAAGTCGGGATTCATCTGGTCAGCGTCCTGTCAGTGTGTGAGAGAGTTGAGGGCTGTTTGGAAATTGAAACAGTATTTGCTGTGTGAGCAAGAAGGAGACAGCAAGGAGCCTGGGAGGGGCTTAGCTGTTGGAAGAGATTTCTTTTCAGGTGGGGAGGGGGAGTAGAACTCCTTAGCATCAGAGCGTGTTAATAATAATAATACACGAAACACTAATAGCTCTGATGGTCATTTTGAAAAATACTTTCTTAGTGAGCACCTAGAAGGCAAGAGGAACATAAGTGCCAAATTTCAAGTTTGTAGGCTTTACGGTTCTGAAGATTTTGTGATGATGCTTGAGTGATATTTCGCTTTTATAGAGAGAGATTTTTATCCCTATCCATCATCTCTTAACCTTTTTGGAGTACCATTCATTTGTTAACTTTTTAATCAACCTTTTCTTTCTCTCTCTTGGAATCTCGTAACTTTTTTTAAATATTTTTATACCTCCTGATTATTCCCTTCGGATTGCCCTCTTTCTGCTGTATCATTTGATGGTCTTTTTAAGATACTGAGGAATGAGATTTTCTGAGTCCCTTCCAGAGAATATTGTGGTGCTTTGGGGATGTCATTTCATAATGGAGTTTTGGGAACTGTGGACAACATCAATTTAAGGGCCTCTAGATTTTGTAATGGCAAATATCTTCCCTTTCATGAAGGAACAGGATGGACTTACCTTTTTGTGTTTTCAAATATACTTTTGATGTAAGATGTTCTCACTGCCGTCTTCTGAAAGAAATTGTAAACAAGGTCATTCAAAATATTCAATTTACTCAATATTTAATAAGAATTGCACTCCATAGACCAGTGGTGGCAAAAAGTGTGTGTGCGCAGGCGTGCAAGCGCTCACATGCCAGCACCCAGAAGGCAATGCACGCCCCCACGTCCCCTACGCCCATTTACCTGCACTGTACCTCACAGCTGATTTTCAGCCGGTTTTAGGCCTTTTTCGGTCTCCCAGAGGCTTGAAAAAAAAGCCTCTGCAGGCTTTGCAGGACGAATAATAGGCCCATTTCATCACTTCCGGTATTACAGGAAGTGACAAAACGGGACTATTCGGCCTTCAGAGGCTTTTTTCAAGCCTCCAGGAGGCCGAAAAAGGCCTCAAACCAGCTGAAAATCAGCTGTGAGGCACGTGCATGCATAGTGAGGTACGTTTGCCTGCGGCTCGCGTGCCAGCACAAATAGCTCTGCGTGCCATCTGTGGCACGCGTGCCATAGGTTCACCATCACGGCCATAGACAGTTAGCCCATGGCTTACAAACAATTGTTTGGGGACCATTCGAAGTTACAACGGCACAGAAAAGAGGGACTTATGACCATGTTTCACACTCACAACCATTGCAGCATCCCCCATGATCAAAATTCAGACACTTGGCAACTGACTCGTACTTATGACAGTTGCAGTGTGCTGGGGTCATGTGATCCCCTTTCAGGGCCTTCTGACACAATGAGGAACCAGATTCCCTTAACCAACAGGTTACTAGCTTAAACAATGGCAGTGATTCACTTAACAACGGTGGCAAGAAAGGTCGTAAAATGGGGCAAAATTAACTGAACAAAGGTCTCACTTCACAACGGAAATGTTGGGGTCAATTGTGTCTGTAAGTGGAGGTAAATGTCAACTCATAAAATATTTATATGGTCTTCTTAGAGTTGCCAACAGAAAGGGAGGGGGGAGCAGTGCAGCAGTTTGGAAACCGAAACTGCATTCCATAAATAGTTTTCAAAGATAAGTAACTAGGTGACTGGAGTTTCTGCTGCGCAAAATTCTAACTGGAGAGCATGATTGATGACTCTTGGCTATGGATGTGTCTCATTGGAGAATATGAATTGTGATACACCCAAGGGGTGGGGGAAAACCAGGGTCAAGGGTGACAATAAATGGACATTTTAACTTCCAATAAATCCTTTTGAAGTTTTGGAAGTTTGACTCGAGGCTCATGATTTAAATGGGGGTAACTGCCGGAATCCTTACAGCTAGCCAACTCTGAGACACATAATTCATTGTACCTGTATTACTTAAGGGTCAAGTAACGTTATTTCTCAAATTTACAATTTCATTCCCAACAATCTTTGTGCATTGCAGTGCATTGAAAGATTCACATCAATAGTCTTCCTGAAATCCAGTCCGGTGATTTGTGATAGGTTTTTCTTTATTCAAATCCAAAACAAGTCCATCGTGTTAACCACTATACCCATGTTTTTCCGAAAATAAGACCGGGTCCTATATTAATTTTTGTTTCAAAAAACACATTAGGGCTTATTTTCACGTTAGGTCTTATTTTCGGGAAAATACAATACTAAAATGCGTCCGTCTGGCCGACGATCTTAACTGGGGCTTAATTTTGGGGGTAGGGCTTATATTATTACAATCATCCTGAAATATCATGCTAGGGTCTTATTTTCCAGTTAGGTCTTATTTTAAGGGAAACACGATCCTTGGATCTGGAATAGCATCTACCCACTCAACAAATGAAGAGCTGGAACTCACTTACCTCATCGGAAAGTAGTTTATACCATTCCCTCCTCAGCATTTTGTGGCTCAAATGCAAGGGTGTTTCAACATATTTCACATATTCCAGATTGACGTTTAATTTTTCCCAGAAACCTTTGCAGTTTTGCACCTCAAATAAGCAAAGAAATGGGAAGAAAGAGAGAGAGTTTTTGATAAAGAGTTATTTCCTCTTCAACATTATTAAAAATGGTCCACAGGTAGTCCTTGACTTACAATTATTCATTCAGTGACCGTTTGAAGTTACAATGGCACTAAAAATAAGTGACTTTAAAAAAACACAACCTCTGCAGTAGCCCCAGGATCAAGTTAACAAAATTCACACCATTGGCAACTGACTCATATTTATGACGGTTGCAACATCCTGGGGTCATGTGATCCCCTTTTACGACTGTCTTGACAAGCAAAGTCAATGGGGAAGCGAGTAACAACCATGTTACTAACTTAACAACTGCAGTGATTCACTTAACAACGGTGGAAAGAAAGGTCATAAAATGGGGCAAAACTTACTCAGCAACAGAAAAATCTGGGCTCAATTGTGGTCATAACTCCAGGACTACCTGTATTGTCTTTAACTTAGTTCTGACATGGATATCAGCAGGAGTGAAATTGCTATTTTATTGAAGCAATGTTCATTGAGGCTAAAATTTGGATGGGGGGATTATTTTTGAACGTCTGTAACACTCTCAGAATCTTTGCAGAGATGTGGATAACAAACAACTAATAAAGTTTATAGTGTGATAAGTACAGTACCTAAAATGAGCAGAGTTAAAGGAGTTTAAAATTTAAAGAGGAGGACTTGGCATTTAATTTACCATATTTTTCGGAGTATAAGATGCTCTAAAGTATAAGATGCACTTAGCTTTTGGGGAGGAAAACAAGAAAAAAATAAATCTGCCTCTGCTGCCTTCCATTTTCAGCCTCCACATGCCCTATTTTTGGCCTCCGCACACCCCATTTTCGCCTCATTCCAGGCAGTGGGGATCAGAAAAAGTAGAAAATGGGGCACACGGAGGCTGAAAATGGAGGGCATGGAGGACAAAAATGGGACGCAGAAGCCGAAAACGGGGTGTGCGGAGGCAATGGCAATTCCTGCAGCCTGAAACAGCTGATCATCGGGAGGCCGATCCTACCAACAATCAGCTGCTTGTGCTATTCAGTCTGTGCTGAAGCTGAAACAGGCTGTTTGCTGTTTGCTACAAGGAAGCAAATTGCTGGGAGGCAGAGGCCAAAGGGTGGGGGCCAGTTGGCGGGTGGGGCTTTGGCAACATTCATTGTATAAGATGCACAGACATTTCCACCCACTTTTGGGAGATGGAAAAAGTACGTCTTATATTCCGAAAAAATACGGTACTCATTAGACTTATATTCCCATCTTCATTTTGTGCAACTCAAGGTGTGAAAGCTTGTGTCCGTACATGAAGGTCCAATTATACTGATTTATTGCTAAAACCTATGCATAGGAATCTTCTCAGCTAATGGTTAGCGCATGCTAAGAATTAGATAAGTATCTATGAAATTCAAGAAGGGTTGGACTTAGTCTATTTGTGACTATGTAGGGATTCTAGGCTAATACCTCTTTTGACTCTGCCTCCAAGTTCAGCCACTGCTTCTCTTGCAACGTACATAATAGATCATCTATCCCAGGGGTGTCAAACTGGCGGCCTGCGGGCTGGATGCGTCATGCACAGGCCACGCCCACCCCAGCTCCACTAAGGGAGCAACTTCACAGGATGGCAGAGTGACGTGGCGAGTTTGACACCCATGATCTATCCATTCCATTTTACTGCAGAGGGAAAGCTGATCATGTTTAACTTAGCCCTTGTTAAATGACAAGTTTTTAACCGCACCCTTAAGACAGTCGGCAGCTGCAACTACACAATTCTTTTATTTTGAAATCCAATTTCCTGAGCAGCGCAATCGTCCCGGTTCTCCTACAGTTATAATACCAGTAGGAAACCTACCACCCGGGACGTTCAATTCCTTACAAATGTGGTCATCCAGCAAGCATGGCAAGCAAACCAGTTGCAGAAACTACTGGGCAGGGCAGAAAAGAGAAGGGCGGCAGTGTTCATCCTATGACAAATTCCTGCTCACAAATCCTCAGTAAACTATTCCAAACTAATTTGTCCTCCTACGTTAACTGGAAGTGCCTTGCTGAATGTAGCTCCAAGGGCTAGGATTGTCTCCGTGTGTAAATGTTAAATATGTGATGTCATGATGCTAGTTATAGAAGACGGAGACTTTACTCCTCGCAACCAATAGTCCCCTTTTGATATAATCACTTAGGAGGAAGGTAGAACAGGAGTGACCTCAACTGGTAACTTTAAAAAACACCAATTGCAAACTGTTCGTAGTCGAATTGGTTCCAAGCCATTTTTAATTGTGGTCTGGAACCAGGCAGTGGATAAGGCCTGGAGGTTATTAAAACATATGAAGAACAGTTGCAGGAATTGGGTTATGGCCAGTCTAGAGAAAAGAAGGGCTCCAAGTGAGATGATAGCAGAGGGGCTATTTGAGGGGCTGCCACTAAGAAGAGGGGGTCAACTTATTCTCCAAGGCAAATAAAGGTAAGACAAGAAGCAATGGATGGAAACTCATCAAGGAGAGAAGCAACCTGGAATTAAGGAGACATTTCCTAACAGCGAGGACAATTAACCAATGGAATGGCTTGCCTCCAGAAGTTGTGATGTGCTCCATCACTGGAGGTTTTTAAGAAGAGACTGGACAATCACTTGTCTGAAATGGTATAGGGCCGTGATGGCGAACCTATGGCACGCGTGCCACAAGTGCCACGGAGAGCCATTTGTGCTGGCACGCGAGCCGCAGGTAAACTTTCCTCACTGCGCATGCTCGCGCCTCACAGCTGATTTTTTTTTCTGATTGGTTTGAGGCCTTTTTCGGCCTCCTAGAGGCTTGGAAAAAGCCTCTGCAAGGCTTTTCAGGAAAAATTATAGGCCCGTTTTGTCACTTTCTGTCGGAAGTGACGAAATGGGCCTATAATTTGGCCTGAGAAGCCTTGCAGAGGCTTTTTCCAAGCCTCTAGGAGGCCGAAAAAGGCCTCAAACAAGCCGAAAAATCAGCTGAGGCACAGTGCAGGTAAGGGGGTGAGGATTGCGCAGGCATGCACAGGGGACGTGGGGAGGGGGACGGGCATTGCATTCTGGCTGCTGGCACGCGAGTACGGACATGCTGGCGCACTCGCAATTTTTGGCACAGGAACCCAAAAAGGTTAGCCACCACTGGCATAGGGTCTCCTGCTTGAGCAGGAGGGCTGGACTAGAAGACCTCCAAAGTCCCTCCCAGCTCTATTCTGATTGAAATTGATGATGGGATTCGAGGAAGATGAAAACTAGATTTCCAACACATAGTTGGGATGTCATGTGGGTTCGATTGTGGTTTTAAGAATTATCTCAGAACGGTTTTGAATAGGTCAACAAACATATTAAGAACCAGCCCTGAATCAAAAACATTATCTCTCTATAATTATAATGGAGAACGGTCCAAGGAAATATTTTCTTAACTCTATTCCACGATGGGGGTATTTATTGCAGGAATTGAGCTCACTGAAACCCAGTGAAAATTAAAAGTATACCTTATTGTTATAGTATATATGTTACATATATAAAAAAATATCTGTATGTGTTAGATACACACACACACACACACACACATTATATATTATATCCTATAACAACTATACTATTATATATGTGTGTGTGTGTGTATGAATATTATGGCATATAACTACAGTATATTGTTACCATACTGTCATTATGCAGACTTACCTTTAAAGAGGGTAACGAAATAATGTACATTTTACACAGAATTCCAGGAATATCCTACAAATGTGGGAATAACAAGTGTTAACTTTTCAGAAAAAAAATACATCAACGGAACAGACTTATTTCATTAAGCTGAAGAACATCTGGCCTTCAAAAGAGAATGACTTCACCTTCTAAACCTCCATTTCAGAGAAGCAAGTTTTGTAAAAAAAAAAATCAATCAAAATATTTCAATTGCACACACACACACACACACACACGCTGTTTTTTTTTTTTTTTTTTTTACAGATACTGGGATTATCATACCATGGTTATGACCATAAAAAGTCATATGGCGAAGATTTGCGATGAGCAAGGAGAACGTCTTGTGGGCTCATTCTTAAATGAGCCCTTCTTATGCCATTCTCCTGTTCTTCTTGTTGTTGGTTCCTTCTTAAATTCTGTGATTATTGGAATTGTAGGGACCTTGGAGGTCTTCTAGTCCAACCTTCAGAAGAACTTATTCCATCCTAGACAAATTGTCCAATCTTTTCTTAAAAACCCTCCGATGATAGAGAGCCAACTTCTGGAGGCAAGCTCTTCCATGGATGAATTGTTCTGTCAGGAATTTTCTCCTCAATTCCAGGAGGAACCCAGATTTTATCTCTTAATTTAAAGATAGCAAGACTTCTCTCAGTTCAGATTAGAATATCTCTTACCTTCTTATTCCAGTTAGACAGTGACGTGTACGGTAAAAGCTTATCCAGGTGGCTGGATTCCAGGCACATTTTCCAATGTAAAGAAGCTAAGAACATCGAGACAAAAATAGGCTCTTGACGGGATCAAGTAAAATACTGCACGCCTCTGTGAAAATTAACAATACTCTGCAACGTAGCTCTATTTGCAAGGGAATTCAACGGAGGTCACCATCCTTAAATGGGATTTAGGATTTCGGTGTTATTGTAAGAGAGGTTACTAAGCCTAAACACAGGTAGTCCTCGATTTACAACCACAAGTGACCCTAAAATTTGTTGTTAAGTGAGACATTTCCTAAGGGGGTTTTGCCTCATTTTACAACCTTTCTTGCCACGGTTGTTAAATGAATCACTGCAGTTGATAAGGTAGTAACCTGGTTGTTAAGTAAATCTGGCTTCTCCATTGACTCTGCTTGTCAGAAAGGGGATCATATAACTCCTGGACACTGCAACGGTCGTAAATATGAGTCCGTTGCCAAGCCATCTGAATTTTGGGAGGATACTGAAAATGTCGTAAGTGTGAAAAACGGCCCCAAGTCACATTTTTTCAGTGCCGTCGTAACATTGGACGGTCACTGAACGAACTGTTGTACCTCAAGGACTGCTCGTATATTTACTCTCTCTTGCTGCTCTGTCTTAATTTACCTCTCCGTTAACGTTTAGTGAAACCACTGCATACTCTGAAAAGACATTGTGAAGGATGGATGTTCCTAATGGCTGCACCCCTGTAGGAAGGCCTCAGGCGTCAAAACACTTACCAATGATTAGCTCTTGTATAGGATCAAATGCAAAACAACTCGACGCGTTCTCGGAAAGCCACTGGATGATCTGTTAAAAAGAGAAAACCAAATTTACCCCGTTTCCCCAAAAAATACGACCTACCCTGAAAGTAAGCCCTAGCTTGATTTTTGTATGTGTGCCCAATATAAGCCCTACCCCCCAAATAAGCCCTAATTAAGATCCCGCCCACTCCAGAGTGCAGAGGTATAAATTAAGCTAGGGTGGGGATGGGGGAGTGGAGCTGCTCTACTACTTACCTTTGGACAGTTGTAGCCAGGCCTCACACACCCCGACACCTGCCTTGCCGGCCCATTTCTTCTGCAGCCAGCAAGGCTGGCAAGGCTTTCCTGAAGGCCTCTGTAGCTCATAACAAAGTTCAGGATCGATCCGAAGCTCTGTAATTGGCTGCAGAGGCCTTCAAGAAAGCCTTGTCGGCCATAGAAGAAGAAATTCCTGAAGGCTCTGTCAGTGAAAAGCAGGCCGGGGGCAACGTGCGCAAGTGAGGTTAGTCAGTGGATGACATCCCCCGAAAATAAGACCTGGTGCCTTTTTTGGTGGCAAAACAAATATAAGATAAAGTCTTATTTTCAGGGAAACAGGGTATCACCACCTGCAAGCTGCCATCACACCTTGGAAAAGGGAGTTGAATTCCACGTGATGTGTTGTCTCAGTTTAACAAGGACTACATCACCTACTAGTACTACTAATCAATTGAAAAAATTTTAAAAATTCATTTACAAAACTACCATGGACAGTTAGTCCTCAACTTAGGACAGCCACTGGGCCTGGAATTACAGTCATTAAGTTGTGTCGATTATTAAATAAATCACCATGTGACTGTGCCCAATTTTATGACTTCCTTTGCAGCAGTCATTAAGTGAATCACCAGCAATAAGGTAATAAGGTAAAAAAAGGTAATAAATGGAATTTATTGTTCGCAATGGGTAGATTTTTTTAAATTTTTTTGTCAGGAACTGGAAATAAATGCCATTTTTTGTAAAAAAAATGGTTGTCCAGTCAATTGCTTATGAGATACTCCAAATACAGAATACAGAATAACAGAGTTGGAAGGGACCTTGGAGGTCTTCTAGTCCAACCCCCTGCTCAAGCAGGAGACCCTATATCATTCCAGAGAACTGGCTCTTCTTAAAACCTTCCAGTGTTGGAGCATTTACAACTTCTGAAGGCCAAGCTGTTCCACTGATTAATTGTTCTGTCAGGAAGTTTCTCCTTAATTCTAGGTTGCTTCTCTCCTTGATTAGTTTCCACGCATCGCTTCTTCAGGTGCTTTGGAGAATGGCTTGACTCCCTCTTCTTTGGGGTAGCCCCTGAGATAGTGGAACACTGCTATCATGGCACCCCTAGGATTGGGCTGAGAGACAGAGAGAGAGAGAGACTGGCCCAAAATCACTCAGCTGACTTTTTATGGCTAAAGTGGGATTTGAACTCATGGTTCAACAGACTTGAGAGTCAAACAGGCTCTCAAGTCTGTTGTAATGTCGAACACTAAGCAATCAGACATAATTCAAGGACTACCTGTAGCAATTGGGAGTGCCTAGCTTTGAGAACCTATTGTGGCTCCTTTAAGAATTTTCAAGGGCTTTGTGCATCTAATGGGATGGATTGTAGTGTGTTTGAATGCTACCATTAGTTAGGATTTGCATCAAACAATGTATGGGGTGGCTTTAGATTCTTGAGTAAGTTTTATCTTTTTATCATCTGCATTCAGATGATAACCACCACCACAGATGAGTCGTGGTGGTATAGTGGTTTAGACTGCAGTATTACAGGCTAACTCTGCCCAGTGCCAGGAGTTCGATCCTGCTCAAGGTTGACTCAGCCTTCCGTCCTTTCGAGGTTGGTAAAATGGGGACCCAGATTGTTTGGGGCAAGAGGCTGACTCTATAAACCGCTTAGAGAGGGCTGCAAAGCACCGTGAAGCGGTATATAAGTCTAAGTGCTATTGCTATTCAGTTTGGAGTTGAGCTCATCTTCTGATGTACCAAATTAACTGAAGATATATTGCAATATGTGGTAATTGGCAACTGACTAGATTTTTTAAAAAAGTGAGTCCAAAGATTTTTCTATTTTATACACAAAGATAAGCAGACAACAATTTCCATCAGACAGACAGGAGGAACTGTAGACGCCCTCACACACCTGGTCTTCCAATTCCTCCGTGCTTCCAACATGTAGTAGGAGACAGTGCAAAGCTGCTAACTGGTCGTTATCTGACTTGCTCTTCCACAAAAATTGTAGCAAAGCCTTTGGGCTCATTTCCACAGTAAATATTTTTCCCGTGCTGCGATCCAAGATACTTGATTTGGCTGGGGAAAAGACGGTGTCAGCGTTCAGTAGATTAATTTTTGCATCTTCGCCTGAAGAAAACAAAATTGGATAGAAGGATTTTTACGGAGGGTACAGGGAAATCTCTAAGATCTCTTCCAATCCTACTATTTATTCAATGTTCTAGATCAGGGGTCGGCAACCTGGGCTCTGGAGCTGCATGTGGCCCTTTCATCCCTCTGTCGCAGCTCCCTGTTGCTCAAAATATGCATCACAACTGCCAATGTGCGACACCCACCAGCACACAACTTATTGTGCTTTTCAAACTCCCCCCCCCCGGTGGGCCAACTATGGATAAATCCAAGGAAAGAAAAGTTTCCAAAGAAAAGAGAACGTTTAATGGTACGTGGGCAGATTCATTTGCTTTCGCTGCTGACGAGACTGGTTTACCAATCTGCTTAATATGTGGCGAGACTTTGGCAAACAACAAAAAGTCGAATGTTGCAAGACATTTCCACAATAAACACTCACCCTTTGCTGAAAAATATCCAGATGAGAAATGAGAGGGGAAAAAAGGCATTTCGGAATGATGCAGAAGTTCATTGATTTCATACATGCAACACACTATAGGTTTTTTTTATACATAACATAAAGGTAAAAAAACAACAACGATATATGCAGCGTTATCTTCATTTTATATGTCAAAAGGATTTTGTGGCTCCCACTGTTTTCTTTTCTGTGGGAAACGGGTTCAATGGCTCTTTGAGTGTTTAAGGTAGCCAACACCCGTTCTAGATTGTAAATTATGCACCGCCTGCGGTCCGATCTAAGCATAGTACACAAAATCATCTGCTACAACGTCATACCTGTCAACGACTTCTTCAGCTTCAAGCGCAAAAATACACAGGCAAACAACCGATACAAACTCAAGGTAAACTGCTCCAAACTCGATTGCAGAAAACATGACTTCAGCACAGAGTGGTCAACGCCTGGAACTCACTACCTGACTCCATTGTTACAGCCTCAACCCCTCACAGCTTCAACCTCAAACTGTCTACCGTGGACCTCACCCGATTCCTAAGAGGTCCTTAAAGGGGGTGTGCATAAGCGCACCAGTCCCTGTCCTACTGTCGCCATTTATCTGTATTTACTCCCTTTGTTCTTGTCTATGTTCATACTTACACCTGCTATCTTGTACATGTTTGACAAACACATAAATAAAATACAGACATTTCCTTCTCCTAGAAACATTTCTTTTTTAAATAAAAATACCTGACAGAAAGAAACTGTGGCAGATGAGGTCAGGATGTTGGGTGTCCAGAAGATGCAGGAATTGTCCAGGTAAGTACACAGCCAGGTAAGAGCCTGTTTTTGGGATGAAGGTTGTTTTTTTAAAAAAACATAATAAATCAAAATAAAATAGCACAGAACTGAACTGTACACACTAGGTGCATTATTCAACATTGCGGTATTACTATGTCATTAATTCTAGAATACAGGTAATCCTCGACTTACAACAGTTCATTGAGTGACCGTTTGATGTAAGAACAGCGCTGAACAAACTGACATGACTCGTTTTCACACTTACAACTGACTCATATTTATGATGGTTGCGGGTCCCCTTTTGCGACCGTCTGACAAGCAAAATCAACGGGGAAGCCAGATTTGCTTGAGAACCACGTGACTAAGTGAACAACTGCAGGGATTCACTTCATGCCTGTGGCAAAAAAGTTCGTAAAACAGGGCAAGGCTCACTGAACCACTGTCTCACTTAGCAACAAAAATTTGGGACTCAATTGTAGTCGTATGTGGAGGACTACCTGTAATATCTACAGACCCCTCACGTTCCTGGACATAAACTGTTTCAACTCCTTCCCTCAATACGACGCTATAGAGCACTGCACACCAGAACAACTCGACACAAGGACAGTTTTTTCCTGAATGCCATCGCTCTGCTAAACAAATAATTCCCTCAACACTGTCCAAAGTCTACACTACTATTATTATTAATCTTCTCATCACTCCTTATCACCCATCCCCTCCCACTTGTGACTTTATGACGGTAACTTCGTTGCTTGTATCCTTACAATTTATATGGGCTGTTTCCTAGTATGATTTGATTGCTTATTTGTACCCTATGACTATTATTAAGTATTGTACCTGATGATTCTTGACTCTTGACAAATGTATCTTTTCTTTTAAGTACACTGAGAGCATTTGTATCGAAGACAAATTCCTTGTGTGTCCAATCATACTTGGCCAATAAAGAATTCTATTCTATTCTATTCTATTCTATTCTATTCTATTCTATTCTAT